GTAGAACTGCCCCTGTGGGTTTCCCTCTCTTTCCAGGCATAAAAAGCCTCCTCTTTCTCCCACAGAGCAGCTGATGCCTTTGAACTGCTGACCTTGAGGTTAGCAGTCCAACTTGTAACCCACTACACCATCAGGATTCCTGTTTTCACTTCGTGCTACAGCATACTGATATATCTATATATATGTATACATACACACCAATATATACACAAATACACATATATGTGCCTAATTTTAAAAAATCTCATTGTCATCGAGTTGATTCTGACTGACAGTGACTCTCTAGGACGGAGTACAATTACCCATTTGGATTTCTGAGACTATAACTGTTTATGGAAGTAGAAAGCCTTATCTTTACCTCATACCCACATTTAAAATGTGAATTGACTTAGAAAAATCCCATTTTGCGCTAAACATTTCAGAAGTGCACCTATTTCTCAAAGCACAGTGTGCATATTCTATGTTGGATATTCTGTGAGAACGCTCCAAATGTATATTCAACTATCATTGATCGAACTATAGATGTTGGGATTAGTGATGAGAAGTACTATGTGTAGAGTAACAGGAAAAGCAATTTCCTATGCAATTAAATTTTTAAAAAGTATAATACACATAATACATAAACCCTTATGTCCTAGCTGTAGCATAATTAGAAATCCTAGGCATAATTGTGATAATATATATATTTTTTAGCTGTACTACCTTGAAGTCAGTGAATACATAATCAAAACTTACTGTGTGTATATGCATGTGTAGTTACTGGTGTGTGTGGTATGTGTCTAAAGAGTGTTGAAATTGATTTGTAGGAGAGGGAAATATATATTGTTGACTCGTGCTTTTCTTCATGCTTTTAAGGATTGAATTTAGAATGAAAATAGTGGGTTTTATACATTCGAATGCTTCCAAATGTAAAACTGAAATTAAATATAATGAAACACAGCTAAAAAGGTATATACGCCTCCACCTGATTTCTTGGAACGTATTACTCAGAGAATGCACCCTTAATATTAAAACATGTTTAAGGAATGGAGTGGTTGGTAAATAAGGAAGACAAAAGCAATTGCTGCCAATCAAAAGTAATCTATTGAAAATGGCCCCAACCTGAGAGCTGTTCTCTTTGGTAGCCGTCATGAAGCTTTACTGACTAAAACGCTGCGACGGTTTTCCTGTCCACCGACTGCGTCCACAGCTGCTCAGGGAAGGATGCCAAAAGAGAGGCGCAGGCTGCCTCATCCTCTCCCGGG